CTATTGTTCAGCATATTCCATTGATGGATAAACCACAATTGGTTTATTCATTCTCCTGTTTAGGTTGTTTCCACTTTTCAGCTATTTTGAATAAAGCTGCTATGTACATTTTTGTACATGTCTTTATTTGGACATGGCTATTCATTTTGGGGAGGTAAATTCTTAGAAGTGGAATAGTTGGACAGATATATGTTTAACTTTTTAAAGAAACTACTCATTTCCATGAAAAATGTCATTGGGAATTTGATAGGTTGCATTGAATCTATAGATTGCTTTAGGTAATATGGACATTTTAACTATGTCATTCTTCCAATCCATGAGCATGGAATATCTTTTCATTTCTTTATATCTTCGTCAATTTCTTTCAACAATGTTTTATACTTTTCAGTGTACAGGTCTTTCACATTCTTGGTAAATTTATTTCCAGGTATTTTATGCTTTTGGTTGTGATTATAAATGAGATTGTTTTCTTGATTTCTCTTTCTAATAGTTCATTATTAGTGTACAGAAATACAACAGATTTTTGTATGTTGATTTTGTACCTGGCAACTTTACTGTATTTATTTAACAAAGAATCCTAAAATTTATATAAAACAACAAAAGGTCCTGAATAGCCAAAGCAATTCTGAGAAAAAAGAACGAAGCTTGAGGTATCACACTTCCTGATTTCAAAGCATACTACAAAGCTGTAGTAATCAAGACAACATGGGATTAGCAGAAAAACAGACACACAGATCAATGAAACAGAACTGAAAGGCCAGAAATAAACCCACATATCCATGGGCAGCTAATTTTCAACAGGGAAACAAGAACACAAAATGGAGAAAGCAAAGTCCCTTCAATAAATGGTGTAGGAAAAACTGGATAGCCACATGCAAAAGAATGAAAGTAAACCCTTATCTTACACCATACACAAAAATTAACTAAAAATGGATTGAAGACTTGATCATATGACCTGGAACCATAAAACTCCTAGAAGAAAACATAGGCAGTATGCTCACTGACATCAGTCTTGGCAATAATTTTTTGAATCTGACACCAAAAGTAAAGCAATAAAAGCAAAAATAAACAAATGGGACTACATCAAACTAAAAAGCTTCTGCACAGCAAAGAAAACCATTAACAAACCAAGAAGACAACCTACCAAATGGGAGAAGATGTTTGTAAATCAAACATCCAATGAGTTAATATCCAAAAAAACCCATCATATAACTTAACAACAAAAAGCCAAACAACCCAATTAAAAAATGGGCAGACGATCTGAACATGTTTTCAAAAAAGATATACAGATAACCAACAGGTACATGAAAACATGTTCAATATCACTAATTATTAGAGAAATGCAAATTAAAACCACAGTAAGATATCACCTCAAGCCCATCAGCATGACTATTATTAAAAAGACAAAAAATAATAAGTGTTGGAGAGGATGTGGAGAAAAGGGAACCCTCATACGCTTCTGGTGGGAATGTAAACTGGTGCAGCCACTATGGAAAACAGTATGGAGGTTCCTCAAAAAATTAAAAATAGAAGTACCATATGATCCAGCTATTCCACTGCTGGGTATTTATCCAAAGAATACAAAAACAGTAATTTGAGAAGATATATGCACCCCTATGTTCATTGCAGCATTATTCACAATAGCCAAGAAGTGGAAACAACCTATGTGCCCATTGACAAATGAATGGATAAAGAAGATGTGGTGTGTGTGTGTGTTTGTATATGTACATATACATATAGTGGTATATGTGTGTATATATAGTATATATATATAGTATATAGTATATATACTATATACATATGGTATACATATATATATAGTGGTATATGTATATATATAGTGGTATATATGTGGTGTGTGGTATAAGATGTGCTGTATATATATATACATACACACACAGTGGTATATCTGTGGTGTATATATACTAAGTGAAGCTAGTGTAAGCTAAATAAGTGAAATAAATCAGATAAAGACAGACAAATACTGTGTGATTTCACTCATATGTGGAAGACAGAAAAAAACAAACAAACACATAGATACAGAGAACAGATTGGTGGTTACCAGAGGGAAAGGGGGATGGGAGGAGGGTGAAAGAGGTAAAGGGGGACACTTGTACAGTGATGGATAGAAACTAGACTTTTGGTGGTGAATATGATGTAGTCTATACAGATGCCAAAATATAATGATGTACACCTGAAATTTATATAATGTTATACACCAATGCTACCTCAATAATAAAAAAAAAGAAACTGCCCAAGAGTTTGACAAAGTGCTTGTACAATTTTCCATTTCAGCAATATATGAGTTCTAGTGGCTCCACATTTTCAACTCCAGTTAGTTTGTCTTTACAACTTCAGCCATTCGAATGGGTGGATAGCGATATCTTATTTTGGTTTGAATCTAAATGTTACAGATAACTAATGATGTTGAGCATCTTTGCATGTTCTTATTTGCTGTTTATATAACTTATTTGGGAAAATGTTCACATCTTTTGTCCATTTTTAAATATTGAGCTACCTTCTTATTATTGAGTTATAAGAATTCTTTAAGTATTTTGAATACTTGTTCTTTGTCAGATATATATTTGCATAATTTTTTCCAGACTTACTTGCCTTTTTACCTTGTTAACTGGAAGAGAAAAAGTTTTAAATTTCCATATAACTCAACTTACCAAGTGATTTTTTTTCTTATGGTTCATACTTTTTGTGCCCTGAGAAATATTTCTTATCACAAAGTGGAAAAAGTTTTCTACTATATTTACTACTGGGAGTTTTATACTTTTGGCTTTAAATTTAGACTGATGATCTGTTTTGAGTTTATTGTATGTATGGTGTGAGGTAAGATCAATGTTCATTTATTTACATAGAGACATCCAGTTGTTCTAGCACCATTTATTGGAAAGAGTTTTCTTTCCTTTTGACTTGTCTTCACACATTTGTGAAAATGCAATCGAGCATACACGTGAGTTTATTTCTAACCTCTCTATTCCCTTCCATTGAGCTATATAGATATCCTCCTGCTAAAGTCACATTATGCTGATTTCTGTAAGTTTATATTAAGTAAGTCTTGATATCTTGTAGTGTAACACTTACAACTTAGTTTTTCTTTATTAAAACTGCTTTGGCTAATATAGGTTATACAGACATACATACAGAAAGAGATCATCAATATCCACAAAAAAAGACTCCTGGAATGCTGTATATCAATTTAGGGAGAACTGACATCGTAACAATATTAAATCAACCAATCAAAGAATATTTTATATCTCACCATTTATTTGTATCCTTCTTTCTTTAATTTTCTCAATTATGTTCCATAATTTTCAGTGTAGAGGTTTTACATGTGCTTTGATAAACTTATTCAAAATTAGTTGCTGGCATTATTGTAAATTGAGTTCTTTTTTAAAAAAATTAATTTACCAAGTATTAACTGCTATTATTAAAAATACAATTGACTATAAACATACCATTAACTAAATTTATTCATTAGTTCTGGTACTTGCTTTGAAGATGAGCAAGCATTTTCAAGAAACAATTATGTCACTGAGAATAAAAACAGTTTTCCTTTCTCTTTTCTGTGGGTTTTTGTTAGATGCTCTTTTTTTGATCAAGGAATTTCACTCTATTCTTAAGTTTCTGAGAGTTTAAATCATAAATGGATGTTGAATTTTGTCAAATGCCTTTTCTGTATGAATTTAAATGATCCTATGATATGTTCTCTTTTATTCTACATCATTCTATTGATTGATTTTCAAATGTTAAAATAACCTTGCATTTCTATCATAAATCTTATTTGATCATATGTTATCATTTTAATGTATTGTTTAATTAGATTTGCTAATATTTGGTTAACAAATTTTGGTTTGTAGGAACATTGATTAGTCACTTTCTTCTACTGTCTTTGTCTAGTTTTGGTTTTCGGATAATGCTGGTCTGATAAAGCGAATTGGAAAGGGTTTCCTCCTTTTTTATTTTTCTTAAGTACTTATTTAGATTCTTTTTTCCCCTTACATATGTTGCAGTAGTCACAAGTGAAGTGATACAGACCCGAAGTTTTTTTGGTGAGAAGGTTTTTAACCATACGTTCAGTATAGTGTCAATTATCAGTAGTATCATAAAGAGTAGTTTCACTGTCCTAAAAGTCCTCTGTGCTCTGCCTAGTTATCCCTCCCAACCCCTCAACCCCTGGCAAGCACTCTATTTTTAATAAAAGGAGAAATTAGAACTATCTATCACATACAATAAATTCTACAAATTCATGACATTACCCAGTGTAACTTGCTCTCTATTACCACCAATAAAGAAGCAGAATCTTTACTGAGGCTATTTATGCCTTCCACCAACACGCAACACTGTGTCACAATCCTGAGTTCTGATCATGAGTCTTCCACATTAGTATAAAATACTTAACTGTGTTTTGATGTTTTCATCAAAGATAACTTTAGGCAGCACATTTAGCATCATTCTAAGATTATTTTTTACAGACTTTTAATTCCTAGGAAATTGGTATTTCATTCATAGAATTTATGCCACATCTCTATACATCAACATATTTGATGATCACTTTCTTGTTAAGGCTGTAAACAGCAAATGCCACGTACATTAACAGTGTCATTAACACTGCTAGTGTCAGCCTCAAAAGTTTTATCTCCTAAATATGGACCACAGTTTAAATCAAAGTAACAAATGCACAATTAACCTGAACAGAGGAACATGCCTACTCAGCACATTGGAAAATGATCTAGTTGAGTTATGAGTCATCTCATATTGCAAAGTAGCAATAAAAATGAGTCTTTCATTTTGCAGAGGTACCACTGGCATTTACAGCAGATGATTAAAATAAAGGAGAAAAATAACTTTTGCATTCTATCAGACCCGGGACATTTTACCCTGGCCGTGCATTTTTGCCTCTGCAGATTTCATCTATCAAAAGAAATATCTCCTCCAGTTGTTGCCAAGGGTCCAGTTATTCCCCAGTGATTCCAAGGACTGTGACTTACCTTATGAAAGTTTCTGAAATATGCTGCCTTTTCATCTGGAAATTTTTCTAGCCTTCTGGGTCCTTTACTAGAAGCCTTCTTGAAAACTAACCAGCATCGTCTGAAAATCTGAAAGCAAATTAAAGAATCCTATTATCTATCTTTTTTACATGAGTTTTGCAGCATCAGGATTTTGTCTATTCAACGAATCTATTGGGAATAAATTTTTTAAAATGCTTCTACAGAGAACAACTTTTTTTTTTAATTATAAGCACGTTATTCATTAAAATTACAGCAAACTTTAAAAGCTCAACATTTAGTATAAAAATGAAATTTGTGAAAAGACTTTATGAGTTTTTCAAGATGCTAGCTTCAATCATCTTTAACTAAATTCTCTGGATGTCAGTGTCATAGGAAAGATTTATTCTCACCATCCTAGCAACAGATAATTCTCTGTTGTCCATGATAATGCAGTTACGATTTACTAAGATTAAGCACTTTCATAATGCTCAATTTTCTGCCTTTGAAAAGACATCACATTTAAAGATTAACTTGTAGGATTAACTTTTTTAAAAAACAATTGCCCATATATTAATTTAGAAAACAAAAGGATATATGTTTTTATAATAGACACATCTCTCACCCCTTTATACTTTTACTGTAACTAGTATTTATTAAATGCTTATTCTGCATAATACATTCTAAAATTTATATACACACTTAATCCTCATAACTACTATATGAGGTGGTTTATCTCCATTTCAGGATAAAGATAGTGATAATGTCAGGATTTGAACACACATCTGTCGGGCTCTTCACCTTTGCAAAAAAGCAAAACTACCAGTTACACAAGCACAAACCATCATTTCAGAACGCTGCCTTTATTTTATAGGACAAATTAATATCAGCCCTTTAGACTGTCTGTCACCTGATGCCCACCTTACCATACTCCTTCCACAGATATCCTTAAGGCAGAGTAATAAAATGAGTCTCCTTTCCAGTAATTGAAAGGGTGTAGAAATGCAAATTGGCCACAACTTTTAAATTTCAACATTTAGCATATTTTTGTTGGCATATACATTCTCTACAGTCATAAAGAAATTCATAGAAGGAAACTTCAGAAACTTAGATCACTGTATTTCTCTTCTATTTATTTATTTAAACCGCAACGCTGCTATACTATGTTTTTTCACTAATAGAGGCCAGATAATAGAAATCCTTTGCAGTATACATTGTTGATTATTCACTAGAAGACAGTGTTTCCCATGTTAAAATGCACTCTTAGAACAATTACAGAGACCTCTCATTATAAAAGCAGAATACATAGAACAACAACGCAGACACGCACTCTCACTGTACTCCAGCTGCCTTTCTTAGCTCCTTCCCTGTAGCTTCAAAAAGCACATGAAGGACAACCCTGAACTTCCAGCACACAGCAGTGGGTCTCTCCTTCTCTACCTGCACTGAGATGCACCGCCTCTGTCACATGATTCCTAACCAAAGACCTGGAGATAAGGAGTGAAAGTCCTCCCTCAGGGCTCCCAGTGTTCTTCCTACACGCTTGTATTTAGCATGTTGTGCTGTAGCTAATTTATTTGTTGGCCCCTTGTGGATCTCCACCCACAAAGTAAACCAACAGTAAAAACATATAGTGTAAATATTGTTTTTATAGTAGGATGTCAGCATACGGTTTGTTTAGCTTTAACTCCACTCTATATAAGTTTATTTAGTGTTGCAGAATTCGGCTTTTTAAACCTAAAAAAGGTATTTATATTTTAAGTGGTAATAAATTTATAAAATGCAAATATAAGAAAAGATAGTTTGGTATAATGGAAAATTAATCAAACTTTTGTTAGTTTGAAACCTTGGGAGTTCCTGGGTGAAATCTAAAAGTGGGCCCCGTCCTTGGGGAGCAAAGAGAAACTAAAGAAAGCAGCAGACAACTCCAGATTGGCAGGTGAAAGGCTTAATAATTGATGGAATTTACACAGAGGCTTGGACAGTCATGAAATGAGGAGATCTTCACACCCGACCATCGGAATCTTAAAGTTTAGATGGAGGCCCTAACTGAGTTCAGTCACTATACCACCCAGATGGTCTCAACAACACATTACTCTCCCAAGGCTGCATGCTTGAAAATGGCTCCTAGTGCAAGAACAGCGGGCGGGTTGTACTGCCCAAGGACAGGGGAGCGGGTGAGGAGTCTCCAGTTGACTGGGTCCAACTCAAGGGTCAACCAGGGTTCAAGTCCTCTTGATGACCTCCTACTACACTCTGGAATCATACAGACTTGGGTTTACATCATGGCTATGCCGGTTTAGCTGTGCAAACTTAGACAAATTATTTAATGTCTCGGGTAAAGAAAGGTACCCCATAGGACAGAGGGAGGAGCTAACAGTGCACAGAAGGTTCTTAACAAGGATCAGCTCATATCTCAGGTCCCTTTCACTTACAGAGTGGGTGCAGTCTGAGGCACATGATAGAGTCATACGTAGGAACATGTTTTTACTAATGACACATAATTCTAATGGAATTCAGATCCAAATATTCTACATCCAGAACAATTAGAGCACTATATAAGAACTTTTAAAAAATAAATAGAAATATATCAATGATCTCCCAAACATGGACTGTGGAACTAGAAAAGACTGGACTTGGAATTCCAGCTCAGCCCCTTGTGAGGGCCATGTCTGCAAGTCATACAACCCTCCAAGCTTGAATCCTTATCTCAGCTTGGGGAAAACAATGTCTATATCATAGAATTATTGTGACGGTGAAAAGAAATAAGTATACAAAGCTTATGCCACAGAGATTTACAGAGGAGTCACTAAATTACAGAGGGTAGTACAATACAAAACAGATGAAATGCTCTTAGCAGCAGACTTTGTTCAGCACGTCCATAACCATTATGAATATTTACATATATTGTCAAAGTCATTGCTTATTCCAATATATTTTTAAAGGTTTCAAATAATCCCAAAAATTATGGGAATTATGTTATGTATAATATCAATAAACAAAACTATTTTGTTGAATACAAATATGAGTTCTTGCCAATTTCATAATGGTTTGGATACTGTTAATCAATTTAGCTATTTATATTTATCAACACACAGCTGAGAAAAAAGTAAAGCTCTTGTATCAAATTTACTCTCTTCCTAAAATTACCCTCTCTGCAAGATAATGTGAAGTAATTTTGCAAAGGATAGATCATTTCACTCAGTCTTAAATCATACGTGTGTATTAGGATTTAGGGTATTATGTTGTAACGTCTCAGAATATAATTTTTTAATCAGAACAATTTGATTCTCAGTGCAGGTTCTGCTATTTATTAAATGCCTTGTCTGGCAGAAGTTATTTTAACCTAAGACCTAACCTCCTCATCTATAACGTAAAGTCAATATACCTCATGAAGTTATTTGAAGATTTAATAAGACAGCCTGCAGAAAGCATCCAGCACATGTGTTTGAAGCGTAGTCCACACACCTTATTTGAAACTCTCAGGATTTGGATATTGCTATGGACTCCATTGTGTTCCCAGCAAATTTGTATGTTGAATTCCTCAGCCCTAATGTGATGGTATTTGGAGATGGGACCCTTGGGAGGTACGTAGCATTAGATGAGATCGCGAGAGTGGGGCCTCAGGACGAGATTAGTGCCCTTATAAGAAGAGACACCAGAGAGCTTGCTCTCTCTCCCTGTAATTTCACAAAAAAGAGGTCACGGCCAGACAGTAGTCATCTGCAAGCTTGGAAGAGGGCTCTTCCCAGAACCTGACCATGCTGGCACCTTGATCTTGGACTTCTAACCTCCAGAACTGTGAGAAAATAAATGTCTGTTGCTCAAGACACTCAGTCTATGTTGTTTTGTTATGGCAGCCCAAGCTACGACAGAGATTTTTAAATTTTATTTTTATTAGCAGAGATGGTAGTGGTTGGTAGTGGAGATAGAGGTAGTGGCAATAATATTGTGGACGTGGCAAACAGTTACACGAATGTGAATCGAACTCTGAGAGATCAGAGGAAGATAAATAAAAATATCATTTGTGAAGTGGGATGCATATAGATTATCAGTATTTATCTCCTGGTTATTTTTTAATGGATTTAGAATCCTAGTTGATGTAGGAAGACTCTCTTTGAATGGGACTGAGACCTAAATTCCCGGTGATATGGTTTCTGTTCTTTCTCACAGAGGAATGCTTTTCCCTGTATCCTTTGCACTTTCTTGCTCATAGCTCAGGAAGCATGATGATGTCAAATGAAGCCTTATAACATTCATGGAAATACACAAACACATATACTTAGTGACTGCAATGCCCCATCTTGTGTGGCTACAGTTATTTTCTATTAAAGAGTGAGTTAAACATGAGTCAGAAAGCATAAGTGTTTTCATTTAGGCACTCAATATTGCTACAGAAAAAACGTGATAACAGGTAATAAGGAAAAATAGATTTGGTATTTTCGATAGTATCTTATCTCTTTGCTATTACATTAACAGAGGCAACCACATACAGATAAAATTGATTGTTGAAGACTTGATGTAATAGACTGTTTACCAAGCTGAGGGTCTTAAGTTATTATTTTCTTATTTTGGAAAAGTTTTAGATTTATAAAACAGCTGTGGAAATGGTGCCGTATGGACTTTATCCAGCTTCCCCTAATATTAACATCCTAAATAACCACGAGTGTTAAAAATTAAGAAACTAACATTGGTAAAAGACTATTAACTAGACCACAGATTCTATTCAGAAATCACTAGCTGTTTCCACTGATGTCCTACTCTGTTTTGGGAACCAATCCAGGATACCACGCCACAGTTACCTGTCCTGTTTCCTTAGTCTCCTCTAATCTTTGATAGTTTCTCAGTCTTTATTTGCTTTTCATGACCTTGACAATTTTGAAGACTACCTGGTCAGGCATTTTGTACAATGTTCCTCAATTTCTGTTTGTCTCAGTTATTTTTGATATTTCAAAGGTCTAATGAAAATCTCACAATAAACTGATTAAAACAAATAATTTGTTGGGAAAAATAATATGAATTCATCATGGCTATGGACTAGTTATATTCTGAGCAGCTGTCTACTTGAATTTTTAAACTTAAAGTAGGAAAAGAATCATTTAATAAATGCT